GGCAGATCTGTGTAATGTACAGACAAGCTGTACAACCTGATATGTAAGAGGTCACCCTTTTGTGTCGAGCGTTTAAACAAAACTCATTTTACAATCTGGCATTTWAGATTTACYAATTCACAAACARACTTCATTTGGAAATGTACTGATTTAGTACAGGGTTCAAATATTATACAAACCTGGCCACTTTAGTGCCCTGAGACCTTTGTAGAGAACCTGTTTTTATAAAGATGAACTGAACTGACCACCTCTATTTCTGTTGTCCCTTTGCAGCAGAAATTCCTCACTCTGTGCAAATACGGGCTCCATAAACCTGCAGAGGAAGGTCTCAAAGAGTGTGACAAACAATCTGAGGTGTTCATTCGGCCCCAAAGGTTCCCAGATACCAATCTAATGGGATCTAATGGTATCTGTTGGAAGACGGCCCAATCCGAGGAGACCGCACGCCAAAAATCGGACACGTAGATTTTATTGCTAGCGTTGGTGCCAACCACCCAAGGACGCCCTTCAATTTGCTTTTTCCACCCCACATTCAGATTAGTACGCTTCTTATTTTATAAAAACGGACCAACCGGTAGTCAGTATTAAGTGAGTGATATTTCGGTGCTTTCTATGGGCATATAAAGTGACATGTATTTATGTACTTGTGATAGCAGCTGCATTTCCCCCAAATAATTCAGTTAGCCAATAGAGCCCAGCCCCATCTATACCAGGTGATAATGTATTCATTCAATCTCCAGGCACTTAGAGGAGCGACATGTCACTGATGACAGAATTGCCAAAAATCTGTCGTTTATTTCATCCTCAGCCGCGTTTAAAACTCCAAATTACTGAAGTACTTTCAGTGTGAGACTTTTAGTCCTGCTAACCTTTATTTCCTCAGCCTCACAATCCATTTAGTCAATTTAAAACCAAATCAATTTTACTCCAGATGACTATCAATGCCGCTATAAAGCAGACTCTGCATTTCTTTGTGCTCCCCCAAACTTTAATGATCCGTTAATCTTCAGCCGCAACATTTTGATCTRAGATATTCTGCTTTTCTTCACAGGTAATAAAAGGTCTATTGAAACCTCGTGCGGTTGCCAGCGCTCGATAAATCTCAATAACCTGTTTTATTCATGAAAGTTATTTTTGTTGTCAGCATTGACAGCATAACATGTGATACTGTCAGCTGCAAACAGGGATTTTACCACAATCACTCTGACAATGTGAAGTGAAAAATGATCAATTATAATGTTGCCAACTCTCACTTCCCTTCTCTCTGTCACTTATCACACTAGTGATAAATGGCTAGGTACTAATAAATAATCCCACGTTCTGGGCGGTTTATGGAACACCGCTGCCATTAATTAAAGTGACAGACAAGTGGGATAGTATATTAAGACGCTGCATAATGAGACAGAGTTTCTGAGCAATCCCCGGCCCCCTTTTCACCCATTTTCCATTTATTTTTATAGTAATTGCAGGAGTTTAAGCCGATGCGAGAAAAGTTTCTTGTTAAAATGGTCTGAGCACATTTCAGGAACAGAATGTTGGTTTTAACCCAACAATTAAAGAAACACCAGAACAAATCTGCACAAATTCAGCTGTTTTTTCCAGTGGCTGCAATAACGTGAAGTATTCTGCCAGTTTCAGTCTTACTCTGTTTGAAATGCTTCAGATTATATTCTGTATTAGTTGGGTACAAAGTGGTTACAATTTTGGACTCATGCATGTGTCCCTGCAACCCTGCATGCAGCTATGTGCAGCTATGTGTGCAGAGGCACTTCATGCAAGCAAGGGATAAAGAGTGGACCTCTACATTTGAAAATTCAAGATGGTTGCCACAGATAATTCCAAATGCCTTTACTTAAGCTGTTTTAAGAAATATTGAGCTGATATTTTATGTAATCGTAGCCAAAGGCCCTGTAACACAATAATGTTTTAGACAACTTATAAAATATGTACAAAAGGTTGCCTTCAGGCCCAGGCCTCCCTTGAAAAAGAGATCTGTGATCTCAATGGGATTTGCCTGGTTAAATAATGGTAAATGAATTATACAGTTTTTAATGCCTAAATTACTAATAAAAATTACTTATTTGATCAATTTGTTAGCATTATAGTACACCTAAAATAAGCTTACAACTGATTTTTTTTCCATCTTCAAAGTAGATGTTTTTAAAATGTTCAGTTTTAAAACATTAYAGTGTGACAGAGCCTTAAGAATAATCAAAAAACTTGCTGTAGCTAGTCACGACTTGTTRTTCAGCCATCTTTAGACATACAAAGCTGAAGACTGGTGTTGAAGTAGCAGGAAACAATATTTTCCAAATTCTAAATGCTAATTGAGATTCAAGATGGTCACCACAGCTAGCTTTAAAAGGCAGGAATTCGGTTATTTTAAGATTCATAGCAATGGAATTTGTTGTGGAGTAGCTAAGAATGATCATGTGCCCATTGCTAATGCTAATCCCAAATTAACCAAACTACTAATGCTAATCTTACAAAGGGCTGCAATTCAGCCATTTTTAAACATACAGAGATGGAATTTTATACAGTCCAGTAGTATCAGAGAACAATATTTAACAAAATGTAAATGCAAATACAAAATCTAAGATTCCACTTGGTAATTATTTTTGGGGTGGCACCTGGGGTGGCCAATTATGTGCTAGGGCCACCGCAGCCACCTCTCTGTTTCCGCCCCTGCATGCAACCCTGCAGAGGATCTAATTTTGCTTTATTAAAAAAGTATTAAACTAACAAAATGATTTTGTTAGAGGGATGGATTTTCCTGGAGTCTGCACTGCCTGGTGTTGGTAAAGCGTCAGCGTCGTGGTTAAACGTAAACTGATATGAATGCACATCTATTTAACCCATCTATTTAAATATCAAATCCTTTTTAACTGCATTTTAGCTATTCCGCAGCAATGGTGCTGCATTAAAATATTAGTCTTTGCCTATAAGTATGCAAAGTTCCAGCAAAATCTGCCAGGAGTTTGTGCATACTGTGCGTCTAAAGTAATATCCATCATTTTTGTAGTTTTGTGTCTCCGACAGTTGCAGCTCAGTGAGAACCGGCAACATTAAATTGTCCCTAGGTGTGAGTGAGAGGGTGAATTGTTGYCTCGTTTGTCTTTGTGTGTCCCTGTGATGGACTGGAGACCTGTCCAGAGTGTCCCCTGCCTGCRGCACAGCTGGAGACATGAGTCCACGTGACCCAGAAAGGAAAAAAAACGGGTAAAAAAGCAAACAGATAGATGACAGATTCTGATCGCGAGCTGAAGTCAAGACGCAGTTTTTAAAGCTTTTTTTCAGTGGAGCTGTAATGAAGCTTAATAAAATAATTTAAACACCAAATCATAATAAGTGCAATTAAGGAATCTGCCTAAATGATGACTTATTTACATGTTTATTGGTCATTACATATGAATCTATTTGAGGATGTGAATATCAAAATAGAACAACATTTCACACATTAAACAATTTTACATTCCTGTAAAAAAAAAAAACTACATTTACATAGAAATGCTGTTTATTTCAGAAACGGTGTGTGTGGGGGGGTGTGTGTGTGTGTGTGTGTTTCGATGCTATTTTCTGTCCGTGAAAGCAGTTTTATTCTAAGAAAAGCCAACAGTCTGACAGGCCGACTGTCATATTGCCATTCAAACATGGCTGAAGCTAACGCAGACCTAACAAGGTCTCCACCTGCGTTGACTTGCTAAATAACGCTGTTTGCAGGTAATAAACTGGTATCCCAGCCATACATAAAAATAAACAAACAAAAATATGCAAGCGAGCTGACTGCTTTTAGAAAAAAAAAGTGACCTAAATGAGTTTGGCGGACAATATGGTGTTCACTGATAAGAGGTACAATTTTATAGTGGCGCTCCAGCGATAACCCATTTCTTCCTTTTCTCTCTGTTCCTTCTCTGTGTTGTTGTTGGTCATCTGGAAGTCAGTTAAAGACAGTGATTTATGCCTGGGGCTTCATGCAGCACAGCCTCATTACACACAAGCATTTTGAGAATCAGCAGATAATTACAGTATATATCATAGACCTCGTGGGGCCTGCTGGATTCAGTCCATTCCAGTGGTCTGTCACAGGACACAGGGCCTCAGAAATRGCAAAATAACCCAGTTAGCCATTTRTTAAATAGAAATGTTTATTAAAACTTCATGCGTAAACGTTGAATCTGCATTTCTCCATCAGATGGTTAAAATGATTTGAGCATGACAATGCTTTGGGTGTTGATTGAGGTTGTTTTAAAGGGGAAATATCCTGCAAAATCCATTTTTTTTAGCAGTTAAGTACATTTTGTTGTGGACATGGAGGCTGTAGGAGGCAGAAAAGTTKAAATCAGTCTCTCCTGGTGCTGCAAAGATAGCTTTATTTCCTATTTGGCTTAGATTTTTTCAGCCTGTTTAATTTTCTCTGTTTTCCATGACATTTTCGGAATCTCTTACGTCAAATAATCTGCAACAGAATTACCAGTTTGGACTTACCAACTACAATTTYCTGGTCTTAATTCTCCTCTGGTTCTGGGTCAGACTCTAGTTCCAATATATAAGGATGGATGAACGTCTTTTTTTAAAAATTAAATTGTAAATAAAACGTTTCTGTATCACTAGAAAACGTTACCCCCTCTCTCTCTTAACCTGGAGCGGAACGGTCTGGAAGCAGGAGGGGGCGGGACTTGAAACAACTTAGAGGAACAGTCAAAAATGAGACACACAWTAGAAATGTGGTAAAAGAGGTGGTGGTAAAGTAAAAATAAGGATGAATAATAATTCATACCAAATGAATAACAATTCAGACCAAATAATTGTAGTTCCACTTTATAAAGATCCAACTGAAAGATTTAAATGCGAAAAAGGATTTAAATGCATAATATACTTTAAAGTTTTTTGTGCACATTTACTTCATGTTCTGAGGTTTAAATTGGTGTAAATCTGTAAATCAAACCTAAACCTTGCTCAGATAAACAATCCTAACAAGCCTTTTTTAATTTTCCATGAAGGGGACATTAACTCGCGCCCGAACTGAACTGAATCCTGAATATCTGGACCTTCGTCCGCGAGCAGAGCTGAACCCCGAATATTGGACCCCTTGCACCCCTTTAGTGAGTATCGATGGTCCCATTTTCACGTAAACAACCACCAGACTTTCACTTATTGCCACTTGTTTCATTTCATCGTGAGTTTCTGCATCCCATGTAAAAGTCAAAAGTTTCATGTTTCTTTGCTCTGAATGCTGCAGTTTGAGACACCAAACTGTGCACTTTCACATTTCCTCCTCCTTCTCTTCACAATGTTTAAATGTGTTTTGCCTCTGTGCAGCAGTGACATATTGTACTTAGAACATCATTAAATCCGGGGCCCTAATGCGATGCTAATATTCTTGCCATTTTTTTCCTGAGCAATAAGTATTTGTCTCATTACCTCCATGCTTGGGAAACACAGTGCTTGATAGTCATCAGGGGGCTTAGAGGAGGTTTGCTTGTGTCGCTTTTCTTGCACACTGGTGAATCTTAATGATGTCAGTTCTTCCTCCTCTCTGTGATCAGATACAGTTTATCAATGTGAGGCGGGGCGAGGGGGAGCGTGGACTCTAACTATAATCGTCCTCCTCTGCTCAAGTTCATTTTTTGCTTATTTCATGGGGWTGGGACAATTTGCTGCGTGTGAATATTCTATTTTTTTTTTATCAATAAGTAGCTTAAGCTCTGATGGGAGCTGCTCAGTCTGCTGTGGATGCAAATGATTTTAAAGCAAAATACTGTTTCTCTAAGTTCATGTTTAGACTCACCTGACACCTTATTAGGTCCACAGCTAATCAGCAACTCTGTGCGTTTAGTTTGGTAAAGATGATTTTAAACTGAGCATCAAAATGTGGAAGAAATGGGATTTTTAGGAGTTTGAACATGACATGGTAGTTGGTGCCAAATGGGCTGGGTTGCTGATGATGTAGTAGGGACGTCATGAAATGCAGACGGTGTGCGTGCGTGCGTGTGTGTGTGTGTGTGGGGGGGAGCTAGTTTTATACTCGACGCATCGTGCAGGGCGCCAGGGTGCGCGCGTCAAAAGTGACGCAATATTGCCGTCCCTGCCCCTGCGTCATTTTGGCGCATGTTGTATGCTGTCGAATGTTCTTCTTACACTTATAAAAAAGTCTATTTCATAACAAATTTTATAGAGTGAAACAGTTGATGACTTTGAGAATAAGACAATATGCAAACAAAACTCAGAAGTAAAGTTGCAGTGGATTTTTCAATGTAGTTTTATTTTATTTGACATAATTTACACTCGAAAATAGACTWAAAAACTAAAGGTGCAAGGCCAAAACGGGAGGCAGCAGCGGCAGCTCCACACTTAGCAAAGAAAAAAACAACTTTAAAATTAAAATAAGAACATGAATGAATAAAATAGAAACAAAATAAAGTTGTGTGACGTCATACATTTCTTCTTCTTCTTCCGTTATTCTTCTTCTACATCCGTTTCTTGCAACCTATGCACAGGTTTTAGAGGTACTGCCACCTGCTGGTCTGTAAAAGAACAGCACTTCAACTACAAACAGCGGCGAAACTGTAAAGGCAGAAGCCGCACRGCTCAGTGCGCGCGCCCTCYAGCCGGCGSACCAAAGTGAAAGTATATMTCRGGCTCAAATGCAGCCCAGTTACCTTCTGATTTAGTGTCRAAATGCCTAAATTCTGTGCCGTGTACGGTTGTTGCACCCGCTCTAATCGGGRGAAAGAYAAAAGTTTTT